CTGCGAATGACTTGTGATCGCGAGCCAAACGCCTGCGACAGATAGGGGACGGCAGGGCAAGCGCAATCGAAACGCGGTGCGCGGGCAGCGATTGCGAGGCGGGGATGTATCTATCCATAGCCACCGCCTGGGGGGTCGAGCTTCAAGGACCTCGGCACGCGGTGGACATGGACACAGTCGTGCCCCGGGGGGGAACTCTAACTATCCGTATCCACCGTCCGCTGGGGTACCAGGACGTCAGTTCGGATCAATCCCCGCCTCGCAGCGATGCTGCGACGGAGGGCGTCCCAGCTCCACAACCTGAGCCGAGCCCAGGTGCCAATCGCTTGGGAGCACGCTGCCATCTTCTCTGATTCCCCAATTCCTGACGCCTCGCGTATCCCCAACAGCATCAATTTATGCGTCTCAATGAGGGACATTTTGTCCCTGGCACGTGCATGCGCCACTGCGGCCAATTTACATCGTACCGCGCCCCGGACGTTGAGCCCGCTCCTTGTCCCTCGCCTTGGAGCCGCGAACCAAAAAGTATCCCCAACAGCATTCCCTGGCATTTTGCCACAGGTCTGCACGATGCTCGAGCTTCCCTGGGCGTTGCAGCTCAGCCAGCCAGCCCCCCCGCCGCCGCTGCCTCTGCTGCTGACTCTGAGGGCTGGCCCGGCCCGTTCGCGCTGCGCCCTGCAGCTAATTAGGTTTGCCCGTCGGCCCGGACACCCTGGTCGCCGCCTGCGCTTTTCGCTTGCGGCCGCGACCAAAAAAATATCCCCAACAGCTGTCTCACTCAGGAGTGGTTCAGCCTTCTTGCAGTGTTCAGCAACTCCCCCGCTGGCGCATCGATGCCGCCTCTCGGCACTCACCTCGCCACAGCTGTGGCCCTGACCCCTGGCGCCCTGTGGCGACAAGGTCCATCTGGTACCGGGTGACCACCTCCCGCGGTGCCCACTCGAGCTCGTGTGCTCTCGCACCCCTCGGGCTTCGCTCCCCTGGCTGCGCGCCGCCACACCAGGTTCGCCCGTCTGGTGGCACCGCCCCGCTCGGCTGACGTGTGGTCTGTTGTTACAGAGCAGGTCACTTCTCCTGGCGTACTGGAGCAATTCACTCGCATGGTGCATCAGCTACCCTGGCCGTTTGCAGTCAGCTCAGCCAGCTCCCCTTCAGCCCGCGGCCCCAACGGCGGTAGGCACTGTGAGCGGGCTCGGCCGCTGCGCTTTTAGGCTTGCGCGTTGCTAATTTGACCGGCCCGTGACCCGGACCTCTCAGTTCGGCGACTGCGAATCCGCGTCCGCCCGCGACTATATATATATATATATATATATGTATAACCCCATGCTCACGATAATAAACACTAGGGGATAATAAAGTTCGGGGTTCAGGGGGAGATAATCAAAGTAGCCCACCAGACCTCAGCATAATCTCGAAGTAAGAGATGATCAAGAGGAGACCAAACGAGCACGTTTTGAGACATCCTTGGCGTTTAGTCTTCATTAAAATATCCTCAACAATGGCTTATTTCGCTGAAGACATCCTCGACAAATCCCTTGTTTCGCTTGAGACATCCACAAACTATTGCTTATTTCGCTTGAGACACCGTCGAACTATTGCTTATTTCGCTTGAGGCATCCTCGAAACAATTGTGTTTTTTCGCTTGAAACATCATCATATTATTGCTGATTTCGCCTGAACATCCTGAAACTATTGCGTATTTCGCTTGAGACATCCTGAAACTATTGCTTATTTCGCTTGAGACACCGTCAACCTATTGCTTATTTCGCTTGAGGCATCCTCGAAATAATTGTGTTTTTATTCTCGAAGGTCTCATTGTCTGGTGCTGCTCTCTGAGCAGCCATCTGCTTGAGCAGCTCTGCTTCAGCAGCTCACCTTGAGCAGAGAGAGAGATAGTGAGAGAAAGAGGAGAGAGGGAGGGAGAGAGAGGGAGAGAGAGAGGTGAGACTCTCTCTCTCTCCCGCCGTGCGCTCCTCTGAGGTTTATTATCGTCGGCAGTTTTTTTATCATCGGCTGAGGTTTATTATCGCCGGCAGTTTTTTATCATCGGCAGTGGTCAATCGCAACTCCTGAGCTCTCCCGGAAGACGGCGGCACGCAAATGATACACATTTGTTTGAAAAACTTCATTTTGAAAAAAAACTTTTTCTAATTGCGAATTACACTGTAATCCTTTCAAAATTGCGAAATCGAGCCGTCAGGCGCTTGAATGCCACATTGCGTTCGAGATTTAAGCACGCGACGCATTTATGAGAAATTTGCGTCGCACGCGCTTTTGCCCGAATATCGAACGCAGTGTGGCATTCAGGCGCGTGCGGGCTCGAATTCGCAATTCCGAAACGATTTCAATGGAATTCGCAACCAAATATAGTATTTTTTGTCAAAATAAGGTTTTTCAAAAAAAAATGCGTGTCATGAGAAAATTGCGTCGCACACGCTTTCGCCTAAATCTCGAACGCAGTGCGGCATTCAAGCGCCTGACGGCTCGATTTCGCAAATTCGAAAAGATTGCAATGGAAATCGCAATTAAATAATATTTTTTCTTTTTTCAAAATGAAGTTTTTCAAAAACATGCGTATCATTTGCGTGCCGCCGTGTTCCCAGAGAGCTCGGGAGTTGCTATCGACCACTGCCGACGATAAAAAACTGCCGACGATAATAAACCTCAAGAGGTTGTGATGAGGGGTTGTGCTGCAGGGTTGTGCTGGAGGGTTGTGCTGGAGGGTTGTGCTGGAGGGTTGTGCTGGAGGGTTGTGCTGGAGGGTTGTGCTGGGGGGTTGTGCTGGAGGGTTGTGCTGGGGGGTTGTGCTGAGAGAGAGAGAGAGAGAGAGAGAGAGAGAGAGAGAGAAAAGGAAAAAAAATAAGATAAAAAGAAATCTATTTTTTAAAAATAAGAAAGATATAACACATTTCGCAGAAAAATGAAACAGCAAAACAAATATTATAATAAAGAAGAATAATAATAAGAATAACAAGAATAAGAAGATAATATATATAGAAAGAAAGATAGAGGAGGAGGAGGAAAAGCAAAAATTTCAAGTGTCAAATCCATCAGATGTTATTCAGAAACGCTTTATGAAAATTGAGAAAGAGAGAGAGAGAGAGAGAGAGAAGAAGAGGAGATAATGAAAAACAAGAGAGGAAGGAGAGGAGGAGAGGAAAGGAGAAGACAGGAGAGGAGCAAGAGGAGAGAGAGATAGAGAAACAGAGAGATAAAAAAGACAGAGAGGAAATAATAAAAAAAACCTATCAGATTTTCCATGGATAATCAACCCCAGGGATAAACAAGTTCAGGGGGGCATGGGGGGGAGAGAGACAGAGATATAGAAAGAGAGAGAGAGAGAGAAGAAATAATGAAAATGAAGATGAGAAGAAAAAATCAAGAGGAGAAGTAGAAGAGGAGAGGAAGAGGAAAAGCAAACATTTCAAGTTCCAAATCTATTATATTTTATTTACAAACGCTTTATGATTTTTTTTCTAAAAAAAAGTGTTCGTGTAGGAGCTCAGGTGCCTCACTTTCCGTGGATAACCAACCCCAGGGATAAACAAGTTCAGGGGCGCATGGGGAGAGAGAAAGATACAAAGAGAGAACTAAAGAAAACAAAGAGAGAGTTGAGGGACATACATAAAATAAATATTAAAAAGGAAAAGGACAAGAAGACATGAGGAGGAGACGTAGAAGAGGAGAGGAAAGGAGGATAAAACAAAAAATCTGAATATTCAAAGTTATTAAATTTTTATTTGCAAGCGCTTTATGAAACTTAAAATTTTTAAGTGCTCGTGTAGGGTAGCTCATGTGCCTCACTTTCCGTGGATAATCAACCCCAGGGATAAACAAGTTCAGGGGGGCATGGGGAGAGAGAGGAAACAAAGAAAGAAATAAAACCATATATAAAGAAATAAGCATATAAATTAAGAAAAAAGAAGGAGAAGAGAAGAGGAAGAAAAAGAGCAAACATTTCAAGTTCCAAATCTATTAGATTTAATTTGCAAACGCTTTCTGAACATTGATTTTTTTGAGTGCTCGTGTAGGGTAGCTCATGTGCCTCACTTGCCATGGATAATCAACCCCAGGGATAAACAAGTTCAGGGGGGCATGGGGGGAGAGAGGAACAAAAAGAGTGAAATAAAGAAATATATAAAGACATGAAAAATATAAAATAAGAAAAAAGAAGGAGAAGGGAAGAGGAAGAAACAGAGCAATCCTCGAGTATATGCTTGTTTCGCTTGAGACATCCTCGACAAGCTTCTCGAATCGCTTGAGACATCCTCGCAGAATTGCTGGTTTCGCTTGAGACATCCTTGAAACATTGCTCGTTTCGTGTGAGCCTGCCTCCCAAAATTCTTGGTTTCGCTTGAGACATCCTCACAGAATTGTTGTTTTCGCTTGAGATATCCTTAAGAAACGTATCGTTTCGCTTGAGACATCCTTCAGTATATGCTTGTTTCGCTTGAGACATCCTCGAGTATATGCTTGTTTCGCTTGAGACATCCTCGACAAGCTTCTCGAATCGCTCGAGACATCCTCGAGTATATGCTTGTTTCGCTTGAGACATCCTCGACAAGCTTCTCGAATCGCTTGAGACATCCTCGCAGAATTACCGGTTTCGCTTGAGACATCCTTGAAACATTGCCTTTTTCGTTTGAGCCTGCCTCCCAAAATTCTTGGTTTCGCTTGAGACATCCTGAAAAAGTGTGATCGCTTCGCTTGATGTTGCTATTTCAACATAACTTGATCTTGCTATCTCAACATAACGTTCCGAGGTGATAATGAAGTTTGGCCTCCGCGCCCCGCGCCCCCGACCAAACTCCTTATTGGTCGACGATAAAAAATTCGAACGACTTAAGGGGGGGGGGGTACATTATTATCGTGGGCATGGGGTTATATATATATATATATATATATCCCCAACAGCTCCGGACTTCCGTCCGTCGATCGCCTGCATGCCAGCTGGCCTTTGCACTGGTGTCGACGCGCGGCTGACTGTCTTCAGTCTGCTTACGACGTGCCTGTTCCGCGGCCCGAACTGCTGTTCGGTCGTCGCCACTCATTCGTTCCGCCGCCACCCACATTGGCTTCGACGCACCTGAAGGCGTGCTCCCCTTGCAGGGATGCATAGCCCTTGCCGCGCTCGGCCCCCCGCGTGCTGCCCCTCGTACAGGCGCAGGCGCTCGCGGCTTCCGCTATCTCCCGCGGGCTTGCACCACGCCGCAGTCACGGGACACCACACTGCCAGCTAATTGCCCGCCAGTTTGGCGTGCACCTCTGGCGGCTGCTAGCTGCCGATGGCACCCCTCGGTGTGCGCCGCGCGACCCGCCCCGGCTAGTCTCACCTCCCGCTGTTCTCTTGTTGTCTCTCTTTTCCTCTCTCTCTCTCTCGCGTGCACCTTAGGCTCTTGCTTGTTAGCTGTAGTTTTGGACGGCGCGCGGCCCTTCCGTTTGCGCTCGCGAACAAAAGCGTACCCCCACCAGCCCATCCAACAACGGTGCCCAGGCGACTTTCCTTGATCAGGGAAGTGGGGCAGCATGCAGTGAAACAAAAAGCGGAGGAAGCCGTCAAACCGAAGCCGGGTCAGGCTGAGCAGGTCCGTCAAGCTTCGCGGTGCACTCGCTCCGCGAGTCTCTTGGGAACATCTTAGAACCATCTTGGAATCATTGCGGCAGCGTTTCCGGTCCACTTGTAGCTTTTTGGGGGGTCTCTTCGGGCTCCTTGGGGGGTTTGGGGCCCTCTTGAGGTGATCTTGGAGGCCATGGTTCAAAAGTGGCGAATGTTGAAATCAGTGCCCCCCCCCTGGGAGGCTGACGAATCGCCTCTTCGGGCCCTCTTATGGGGCACTCTTGGGCGCCTCTCGGTCGCTTTCGGGGCCCTCTTGTGGCTTTCTTGGGTTATCTCGTGGTCATCCTGAGGCCTCGAAGGCCCATCGGAAGCGAAAAGGCGAGAAGGCAACCAACAATGTTTCCTTGATTATGGAAATATTCTGGCCTCCTGGGAGGGTCCTTGGAGGGTTCCGAGGGCACCTCTGACCGCCTTGCCGGCGTCCTGGGGCCTCTTGGCGGTATGTCGGAGGCTATCTTGAACCGCGTTCGACAATCTTGAGCAATCTTGGAGGCCGTCTTGGGCTATCTTGGGCCCTCTTGGGGCCATCTTGGGCCGTTTTTGGGTGTTCCTAGCCCCTCGCGACCCCACCGTCCAGATCCAGAGAGGGGGGGCGAAAGGAGGTACACCTCCTCGGATAGGGAAAGGGAGGACCTAGAAAATGACACGCCGTGGACCACCTGCGCCCAGAGGGCTGTTGGGATTAGGATTTGCTTCAGGGTTTCTTATTTGTTTTGAAGGGCCTACGGTGGCGGGGCTTGCGCCGACCTGCTCACCCCAGGTAATTTGTGTTTGTTTTTGTTGGTTATTGGGTATTGGCTCCGAGTTGCCTTCCTCGGGGTCCTGGGTTTGGGTTCTTTGGTTCCTTGGTCCTGATCGTTAGTTCCCTTGTCTTGGTTCCTTGGTCTTGGTTCCTTGATTCCTTGGTTCCTTGGTCTTGGTTTCTTATTTTCTTGGTCTTGGTTCCCTGGTCCTTGGTTTCTGGTCTTGGTTCCTGCATTGTTCCTTGGTCTTGGTTTCTTGCTGCCTCGCCACGCAATGCCAGTGTATGCCAGGCAACGCAGAGCCATTCCACTCAATGCCACGCAATGTCAAGCAATGCCGCTCAATGCCACGCAACGCCAAACAATGCCTCGCAATGTCGAGCAGTGCCAAGCGATGCCACGCAATGCCAAGCAATGCCGCGCAATGACAAGCAGTGCCAAGCAATGCCACGAAAGCCAATCAGTGCCAAACAAGATGCCAAGCAGTGCTCAGCAGTGCCAAGCAACATTCCAAGCAATGCGCCCATGCAGCAGGAAGGTCTCCCCCGATTGGGGCCGCGCAAGGCAACAACAAACGGCACGATGTGACGCACGCCAGAACGCGATAACGGGGCGAGGCGGGGGGTGGGGCGACCGCCAGTGGCGAAATCTGGGCACGACCGACCCCCGCCGCGCAACGCTCTTGGATCTGGTAGGGATCCACCGTCGGGGGCTCACTTCGCTTGTGGCCCGCTCCTGGACCTCTCCCCCGGTAGCTGGACCGCCAGGGGTATGGCTCAGCTGGCCTGCAACCAAGACGCTGAGGTAAGGAACAGCTTGGGTTCGGAAGGGGCTCGATGCTCCTGAGGTTCCTCCATGGCTCTTTCTCTAGCGATCCTCGTCCACGCAGGCGCTTTTTGGGCAACGAGGGGTTGTGTTCCTTATTTGGCCTTCCCTATTTCAGCAGCCCGACTGTTGGCTTAGCCTGTCACTTTTCCGGTTTTGGCCCACCGCACCTCGGCGCGACACGCTATGCACTTCCCAATCCCTGCGCGTCAATGTAACTCGTCTTTTCGAAGCCTCCCGCCCCGCGGAGCGGAGCGGCCCGTTATCCACTCGCAAGGCATAGCGTGAGCCGGGCCCCCCGTTGTGAGACGGGGGGCCAGGCTACTGCAACGCAGCGCTGCCACCCGCAGCAGGATGCCAGGAGACGCGAGTGTTCTGTCGGACCGCCCTCGAGCAGTCATAGGGGGAGCGCGCCGACGGAGTCGATCGAGCCAGCGAAGCATGCGACGCTGTTCGGGATGGGGCAGGCTGTCCGTCGTTTGGCAGCGCGCTCAAGGGGGTGGGGAGAGGGCAGGGGGGCTTCTTAGAACGGATCAGAGGCTTCTCATGAAGATTAATTATTACAAGGCCGAGGGGCTTCGAGGACGCCCTCTGCCTTAGAAGCCCCCCCTCGCTCCACCCCCCTGCGCGCCGCAAAGCAGGAGGCGCAGTGGACACAGAGTGAGGGAGGGGGAGGGGCAGGGCTGGGTCCAGGGTCTGCATGCCAAGGGAAGGGCAAGCGAAGCCTAGAGGGGTGCAGCAGTGGCGGCAATACCTAAGAGTGGGCCAGAGGGGAGGCTGATCAGTGCGTGCACCAGGGTTGCTCGCCCACCCGTCGCGTTGGTGGCCCACACGCGTGGCTGTCTCGAGGGGGACGGTCTCCATGATAGGTGGGGCCCCTGGGAATCCGCGGAGGCTCCTCAGAAGCCTCCGTCCCCGGCCCCTGGGAAGCCCCCCCCGAGAACCCTCTGGGGCTTGCCGAGGGCCCCCGGCTCCGGAGCGGCCCCCGCTGGCCTCCTGGGAGGGCCGCCCCGCCTTTGCCTCGACCCCCGCGTGCGCGCCGCCCGGCCCATCCCCGAGATCCGACGGCGCGAAGCACAAGGCAGCACGGTGAGACACCACGACGTGGGCCCCAGGACCCCACCTCGCTGCGCCACTCTCCGCGCGGGATCGATCTTCGAGGGCCCTGGGGCCCCAGGCGAAGACGCCCAGCGCGGAAGAACCGGGACGCCAGGATCTGCGGGATCGCTGCCCCCCATCCGCGCCCCCCTCGCATCGGTACCACCCAACTGCTTTTACGATGTGTACGTCGGCCCCGCAAGGGCGACGCGCACGCTCAGAAATCTTTTAGGCTAAGCTCCGTGGCGGGCACTTCCTGGCCGTACGGATCGGGAAACGACACGCTGTAAGATGCGTGTGCTGTGTGTTCGTGTCGGACGTGCGCTTACAACATCATCACCACCATCCTCCTCCTCTGCCTCCTCCGCCTCCTCCGCCGCCTCGTCATCGTCATCGTCATCGTCGTCGTCGTCGTCGTCATCTTCATCATCATCATCATCATCATCATCATCATCATCATCATCATCATCATCATCATCATCATCATCATCATCGTCATCGTCATCGTCATCGTCATCATCATCATCATCATCATCATGATCATGATCATCATCATCATCATCATCATCATCATCATCATCATCATCATCATCATCATCATCATCATCATCATCATCATCATCATCATCATCATCATCATCATCGTTATCATTATCAGCATCATCATCATCAGCAGCAGCATCATAATCAGCGTCATCATCATCATCAGCAGCAGCATCATCATCGGCACCCAGCAGCATCCCAGGTCACCCAAGGAGGCGCGAATGCAGTGGCGCCGTGCTCTTCGCGGTCTGGGCTGGGGAGCCGTCCTTCCTCCAGGACGATGACCGTCACTCTGCGCCCCCTTCCCAGCATACTGAATGTCTGTGTCGGACGTGCGCCTCCAGCACCAGCATGTGTGTACACAAGATGTGTGTGTGTGTGTGTGTGTGTGTGTGTGGACTATTTGCTCGTGTCGGACGGGCGCTCCCAGCAGCAGCACACAGCACCGGCATGCCCGCCGGCGCCCCCCTCCCACAGGCAGCGGCCGCCGGGCCGCCGGGCCGCCGCCCGCTTGGCGTGGCGCGCGCCCGCGCGCGCAGCAGCTGCGCTCGAGCGGCTGGCGCGCTCCGTCGCGGGGCGGGCGCGCGGCCGCGGCTGGCCACAGCGCTGGGGCTCTCTGGCCGCCGTGGCCCTCCTCCCAGGAGGAGGAGCAGGTGCCGATGCCCCTACACGCCGGTCGGTGAAAGTAGTCGTGGATATCCACATCCCAATCTACTTCAATCGCCTTCCTACTTCAAGAATCGCTTTCTGTGTTGCTGCGCGTAATTGGTCTCTTGGGCGGGCCCGAGCCCAATCTACTCGCCTTCCTACTTCATGTTTTCACCCACCTCTTCCAACTTGGGGGTGCCCCTCCGTAGTCTTTCGCCGTCTGGGGTCTCCTGGGAGGCCCCCGTCGCCACGGCTGGCCTTGAAATTCCGGTCAGGGAGGGGTCCAGGGAGTAGCGGCATCGGCATCTTTTTGGTATCCCCCTCGCGAACCGCGAGGCCGAGGCGGCCCAGACATCTGGCGGCTCGGGCAAAGCTCAGGGGCGACCAGCTTGTCTCGTTTCGGCGGCGAGAGAGGGGGGGAAGTGAGAAGGAGAAGGCCTTCTCGGAAGGCGGCGGGGCTCCTCAGAAAAGCCCTCCGGCCTTCCGAGAAGTTGCCTGTATCTTCGGGGAAGGCCTAGAACCCTTTCAGAAGGCCGGGGGACTTCCGAGCCTTCTGAGAGGGCCCGCCCCCCCCCTCTTTCCCATCCTGGGCTCGCCGCCGATGGTCGTTCAGGGGCTCTGGAGGCCGGCTGCGGGCTGTGGGGCCGTCGGGCAAGCGGCTCTGCCCCTCTACAGGATGAGCATTCAGGAATAGTAAGCAAAATGGTTTGGTGACGATCTTTTTTGTGCTCTTTTGACTTTGTTTGATTATCTGCTGACTATGTTTCAGTTCTCTTCCAAAATCCGCCTGTAGGGGGACAGGCCCGACCTAGCCCCAGTGGCGGGGTCGAGCCCTCGGGCTACGTCTGCCACGCCCTTCCGCGCGGCAGGCGCCGCCGTGGCGGCGGCCGCCGCCGCTGCCGTTGGCCGCCCGCGCGGCGGCCGGCCCCACAGGGGGTGGCGCCCGCCGCGCGGAGGGCGCGACAGGTGGCAGCCGAGGGAGAGGTCCGCTGGAGGGGGGACAAGCGGCTTCAAGCGGCCTCCCCACCGCCTGCGGGCCACCTCCAGCGCTGAGGTCCTGGGAAGCTGTTTTTTGTATCTGCTACCAGAAACTCGGCCACGCGCAGAGGAGGGGTAGGGGAAGGGGGGAAGACTTCGTAGAAGGAGGCTATTTCCTAGGAGGCGTGGGCCTTATCCGTAGATGCGAGGCAGGCGCCTTCTAAGCAGCAGCCTTCTAAGACGCCTTCCCCCCTCCCCCTGCCTTCTTATGCGCGCAGCCTAGCAACGGTTGTTACCCGGGGGTGGGTGGGGCCCCGGGTGGCGGTCACGCTTGGGCGGGGTGGGGCACGCCCGGGCGGGGGTTTGCGCCGATCGCCATAGTATGCGCGCGAGCACCAGCATGTGGGGGGGGTCCAGCCCCCCTCTACTCACGTACAGTTGACGACAGCGCCAGAGAATACAGACAATTCCCGATGCGCTCCCGAGCCCCAGCCAGCATGGAGATGTCTCCGGCGGGGCGCCGCAAAACGGGCCCGGGGGCGGGAACCCCAAGGGGAGAACCCTGCCCGGCTCGTCGCGCTGCGGTGCCGATCTTCTCAACTCCCAGTCTGGGGGCCCGCGTCTCGAACGCAGAGCCGCCGGGTGTTTGGGGAGCCGTTTTGGTGCACGTCCTCCCCGTAGGGCGATGCCGGTCACGACTGTGTGGCCCTCAGGCTGCCGCGGCCTCCTCGCGAGCTGAGGCGAGCCTTGTAGGTGCACGTCCACTCCATGAGGCTCCCAATCCCTCAGCCTATGTCGTGAGCCACTTCTTCACGCTCTATGTCGTGGGACTCCCAATCACTCAGGCTCTATGTCTCTCGGCCTTCATTCCTAGCCAAGGGGATCGATCTTCGGAGACCTCGGCAGGCGGTGCCTATGGACATGTTCGGGCCCCCGGGGGCCCAGACAGACCCGTATCGACCGCCCCTCTGGGATCCCCGGACATCGGTTACACAGGCGGTGGATCTGGATACTCTCCCGCCTCTCTCGCTCTCTCACGCCCAAGGGCAGAGGCTGAGCCACAGCGCTGAGAGGCCTGGGGGCCTCCGGGACGACCGCCCGGGCCGCGCTGGCCGGATTTCAGGCAAGGGCCCCTCTCGCCGGCGGGGCGGGCGGGCGGCGGAGGAGCACCAGGAGACCCCAGCTCTCCGCTGGCGGGAACTCCCGCCGATGCGTTCGCGATTTCAAATTCGCGCCCTGTGGGCCGCCCGCGCGCGCGAGTGCTCGGGTGGCTGCGGGGCGGCGGGTCCACTTTCGTCTTCCACATTGCCTTCGGAGAGCGCCGTGTGTGCGTGTGTGTGTGTTGTGTTTGTGTGTGTGTGTGTGTGTGTGTGTGTGTGTGTGTGTGGTGTGTGTGTGTGTGTGTGTATGGTGTGTGTGTGGTGTGTGGTGTGTGTGTATTGTGTGTGTGCTCTCTATTCGCGGCATCCCAGCCTTCCTCTGCCAATTGCCAAGATGCCAGTTCGCCAAGTCGGCTTGCCTACTTAGTTAGCCGATCGTTTCTTGCCCCCCCAAGTCGCCGCGAACCCAAACCATGTTTTCGTCTACCCATCTCTCCTCCCTTCTCCTGCTCGCCACTGCCGTCTTCGCTCCCGTATGGCCGAGGAATCTGGCCCCTCTGCCCCGAGGGAAGGGGTCATCGGTCACATCCTGCGGATCACGCGGGGGACATTCGGTCCAATCCCCCCCCTCACACACACGCACACGCACACGCATACGCACACGCACACGCACACGCACACGCACACAACACAACACAGCACAGCACAACGCAACACACCACAACACAACAACATACAATACTACACACCACAACACAACACACCACAACACACCACACCACAACACACACATCAAACAACACAACGCAACACAACACAACACAACACAACACAACACAACACAACACAACACAACACAACACAACACAACACAACACACAACACACACACATCACACAACACAACACACACACACACGCACCATGTGCACCGTACAGGCCTGGTTGCGATCCGAGCTTGTGCGATTTCGGCGTCCCCCTGTGCCGGTTCCGGGTGTGCTCCGATTTTTTCCCGTTTTCTGATGTGGGTTTCGCTCCGATTCGCAGATGCAGCTACGCCCTGGTTTAACAGGGGCCGCTGGCTTCCATGGGCACCTTCGAGCTCCCCACTGCCTGGGGCGGCAAGTTTGCGGGAGGGGGTGAGGAGAAGAGGTGCGAAGAGAATGAAAACGAGGCGTTGAAGAGGGATGAGGAGGAGGAGCAGGGGGATGCGTAGCGGGAGGAGGAGGAGGAGAGGAGGCGATGACGATGATCAAGCTAATGATGTTGATGATGTTGATGATGTTGATGATGATGATGCTTATGACGATGACACTGGTTACGATGGTGACGACGATGATGGTGATGATGACGATGACGACGACGATGAGTATGCATATTATGATGATGATGACGATTATGATGCTGCTGTCGATGATGCTGCTGATGATGATGATGATGATGCTGATGATCAGGGCACCGACGATAATGATGATACTGATGATGACGACGACGACGATGCTGATCTGCTGCTTCTGATGAGGATGTTGATGCTGATGCTGATGGTGGTGGTGGTGATTATGATTGGGAGGACGAGGTGGAGGATGATTCGGAGTAGGAGGGAGAGCAGGAGGACTAGGAGGATGAGAATTAGTAGGGGCATGTGCCCCCGTTTTGTATCATGATGATGATGAGGATGAGGAGGACAACTGGGATGCTTATGGCCAGGTGTCTTGGCGCTATAGGATCATGATGCTGATTATGGTGTTGATGGTGACTATGATGCTAATGAGGATGACGATCATGATCATGATGTTGAGCATGTTGATGATGATGATGATGATGATGATGATGATGATGATGATGATGGTGATAATGGTGGTGGTGGTGGTGGTGGTGACGATGGTACTGATGATGCTTGCGAGGATACCTGTGACGACGATTATGCTGATGATGATGATGCTGATTCTGATGACGACCACGTCGACGATGATGATCTGGTGCTGCTGATGATGCTGCTGATGATGATTATTATGATGATGCTGATGCTGATGATGATAGTGATCATGCTGTTGATGATAATGATGATGAGTATGCCGATGATGAGTGGGCTGATGATGAGGACGATTTCGTTGTTATGTTTTTATGTTGTGGTGATCGTGATGCTGCTGATGATGATGCTGATGGTGATGGTCGAGATTATGACGAGGACGGTCATGTCAGGCAAGGCGAGGAGGAGGTGGAGGCAGAGGGGGCAGCAGAGGAGGAGCAGAAAAGGACGCACTGGCGGAGGAGTAGGAGTAGGAGTAGGAGTAGGAGTAGGAGTAGGAGTAGAAGTAGGAGTAGGAGTAGGAGTAGGAGTAGGAGTAGGAGGTCGGGGATGAGGAGATGGTCGAGGTCGACGAGGTGGATGAGGGGAGGGGATGGTAAGGTGAGATGGGTGTATGAGGGGCAGAAGGGTTACGGAGATATGGGAAGATGCAGGATGGGGGATAGTGGGACGGAGGGGAACTACGCAATGCAGATATGGGGGATCGCGTCAACGTCTTCGGCGGCGTGATTTTGACATAGGGTAGAATGTCCACCTTGGTGTTTGTGTTTCGGATGTCCGCGCTGTGGAAGTTGGAAACCCAGGGAGGCGTGGTATAGGGGGCTGCTTCTGCTAGCGCTTTCGAGCTCCCGCTCCCCGCACCGCCTTTGGACGCACGTCTCCGTGATGTTGATGATGACGACGATGACGACGACGACGATGACGATGCAGGTAGTGATTGCGATTACGAGAGCGGTGACGATGATGACGACGACGACGAAGACGACGACGATGATGATGGTGCTGTTGTTGGTAAAGGTGATTGACAATTGATTGATTGGTTGATTGATGATGGTGACGACGCTGATCATGGTGATGACGGTGACGATGATGGTGGTTGTGTTGATGATGGTCATCACGGTGCTGATGATTATGACGATACTGAGGATGCTGCTGCGGATGATGATGTTGAGGATGCTGCTGCTGCTGATAACGATGATGATGATGATGGTGACGATGACGATGGCGACGACGATGATGATGATGCTGCTGCTGACGACGATGACGATGGCGATGACGATGACGATGCCGGTGACGATGATGAGGATGAGGATGATGATGTTGATGATGATTATTATGACTTATCATGTTTGATGATGATGATGATGATGATGATGATGATGATGATGATGTTGATCCTGATGATGATGATAATGCTGATGATGGTGAGGATGGCGAGAAGGATGATCAAGATGAGGAGGATGAAGAGGAGTATGATAAGCTGGAGGGGGAGGAAGAATATGATTCGGTGTAGGAGAGGGTCGCTCGATCTACGAAGGCAGAATTGCTGTCACGCCTCCTCTTCGCTTAATGCCGCTCCGATAGCCTCTCCGACCATCGGCACGCGCGAAGGCACCTGATTGGTTCGCAGATGGTGAGCAAAAAGCGCGCAATGGAGGCAGGTGGCCGCGGGGAACGAGCGGGATCCCGAGCACACTCAGGACGGTGAAATCAGGACCACCTCGGGCGCAGGAGGGGCTCTGGCCTTCGGTCCGTTCTTCAGTCTTCAGATCCAGGATGGGCTCTGGTCTTCGTGGCCGAGGCGCGCCGTGGCCATAGAAGCTCCCTCGTTCCTGATCTGGCGCTCTTCATGCTAGCACGATGGCTGTAACTGTGTGTGTGGAGCGGGCGTGCAGTGGGCGCCCCGCGCGGTGCCACTTCGGTCCTGGTGCGGTGCGGGATCGGCGCAGGATGCGGCGCGCGATGCCATCTCGATCCAAGTGCGGTGCGGACTTGGCGCAGGGTGTGGCGCGGCGCTGCTTTGAAGGGCCTGGCCGTGTGCTGCTCTTGCGTGGGCGTAGCGGGTGCTGCGAGCTGGACTGGAGGCACGATCAAACCTCAGGACTTGGGAAGATCAACCATGTGAAAGCTGGAGGGAAACGAGCGGGAAGCATCCCTCCTGAAGCAGCGAGGCTGGCAACAGACTAATAATCGCTCCCATCGATCACATCGTCATTTCCACGATTGGCACCGCCCGCCTTCGTATCACACCCCTTTTCCGACATCCTGACTTCCTCCTCTTCCTCATCTTACCGCGGCAGTCATACGATCCACGGTAGCGGTGGCAAGAGCTGGGCATTAGCGAGATCAGAAGCGGCAGCCGCATCGTGTGTGGGTCGGGTCGGCCAAGTGCGTTGCCGTTCTTGGGGCCAGTGTGTTCCTCCTCCTCCTCCTCCTTCTTTTCCTCCTCCTCCTCCTCCTCCCCACTCCTGTTTCTCCCTTCTCCTCTTTCTCCCCAGTCATCTTCTTCCTCCTCCTCCTCCTCCTTCAGCAGTTTTGGCTCAAGGCTATGATGCCCCCGTGGACCAGAGTGGAGACCTCTTGTCCGAGGCGTGCAAGACAGTTTTGTCTGGCATCCTCTCGCGGCCTCTACCGCGGACCTGGGTCCCCGCACAGCTAGTCATCCTTCACCCGTCTCGGCTAGTCGTGGAGGCGGGTAAACGGTGGAGTTTCCAGTTCCTGCTTCTCCGACTGCTGATGCCATTTCGTCGTCCGACGGCTCGAGATCCAGCAGCTCGCAGGCAGAACCTGTTCGCAGCCACAGCCGCAGAGGCCGCAGTGGTGGCGACCAGGCTCCTCGCTCCCGTCAATGCCGTCCTCGCCAGAATCAGCGTGACCAGGAAACTCACTGATGTCCACGGCCTGAGTGTCGCGTCCAGCGTACCTCCCCTCGCCACATTCAGGAGGATGCCCATGCTGCCGCCGCCGCATCCACCCTGGACGTCATGCTCGCTGACGGCTCCTTGCTTGCCGACCTGGAGGCCGCGCCCACCTTCCCCTCACAAGAGGGTGCATGTCATGCGGCAGCAGCTTCATCCTCAGCGGCGCCTTCAGCACCTCAGCCTCGCTCCGATCCGTGGCAGGCTAATGGAGGGGCTGACCCATGGAGCGGGCAAGGCGCCGCCGCTCGTGACTTCGAGACGCAGTTCGAACACCTCTTCAAAGCCCAGATCACCACAGCGTCCATGCAGCTCCAGAAGGTTTGCGAGGACACGTTGCAGAACCCTCAATCTGATTTCATGGCCAGCATGCGCACTTGCCTCGCTCAAGTGCAACAAACGAAGGTACGTATCGACAGGCAGTCTCACCTCGCTGCGGGCCTCCAGCAGCGCCAAGCCCAGATGGAGAAGGAGCAGGATCGCGTCCGTGATGCCATCACGGGGCTCGAGCACACCCTCGCCCTGGCGGCTGCGCGGGTCAATAGGGCGGCGCCGCGAGCGCCCCGGCGGTCGGCCCGCCAGCCGCCGCCGCCGCCGCGCCAGCCGCCGCCGCCGCCCAGCTCCTCAGCAGCGCCTTGGGCCCGCCAGCTCGCCGTCAGCCCGCCTCCTGGGCCCCGCGCCGCCGCGCCCTGGCCGCCCCGCCTCCGAGTCGCGGCGGCGCTGCCGCGCGGCGCCGCCGCCCGCCGCCAGCGCCGCTGGCGCCGCCGCCTTCCGCCGCCTTTGCCCGGCCGCATCGGCGCGCGCCCAGCGCCCGCGGCGCGGCGCCCGAGCCCCAGCTGCAGCGGCGCGCCCGCTAGCTAGCCGCCAAGTTCAGAGCTCAGCGCGCGCGCGCGCGGCGGGCTGCCTGCTCGGCGCCTCCAGCTCCGCGGCACGTCGCCCCGCGCGCGGCGAGGTAAGCGGGGCGGAAAGCGCCCGCGCTCCCGCGCTGCAGCGTCGCCGCGAGGCGCTGGCGAGCCGGCGCCAGCACGGCGGCGTCGCCGCGCGCCCAAGTGCGGAGCAGCGTTTGCGCCTCCGCCCCAGCGCGTCCCAGTGCCTCCGGCGCGAAGGCCGTAGGGGCTGGGCCCGGGTAGCGATTGCGCTTGCGCGCCTCCCCGGCCGCCGCGGCAGCGCCGCCCCGGACGGCGCGGCTCCAGCCCGCCAGCGCGTCCGCGCCCAGGGCGACGTTTGTGGCCGCCGCGTCGACGCAGGGCGCGCTGGTCGCGGGGTCGGGACCGCGTCAAGGCGGGATGCCTCGATCGACAGAGCCGCCCGCCCGAGCCATGTCCCAGGCGGTCGCGGATTGTTCCGCGCCCGCGCCCGTCGCGGCCTGGGACTGCGGCCAGCGGGCGAGCCAATCCGCGACTCCGTCGCGGCAGTGGCTCGTGCCGCCGCCGACGTGGCAGCCCGGGCAGTGCCCCGGCGTCGCGGCCAGGTCGGCTCCGCAGGGCGCGCCGCCCTCCCGGCGCCGGAGGCAGGTTGCGCGGGCGCCTGCGGGAGCAGCCAGGGCTGGGAGGAAGTGCGCGTCCGTCATAACGTGGCCCTCCTCGGCGGCAGGGGCCAGCTTCCCGCGCCCTTCCCGCTGGCCGAGCGGAGCTGCGCTGCGCGGTGCGGCGGCAGGGCGCCCAGGAGCCGCTGCCAGCGCGCGCGCTGCTCTGGCGCGGCGAGGGCCCGCGGCGGCGCGGCGGCGCTCAGCCAGTCCGCGCCGCGCGCCTGGGGCGCGCGGCCCGCGCCCTCGGCGCCCCCCCCCCGCGCCGTCGGGCAAGCCTGCTGGGAGGTCTCGAGGCTGGGCAGGCCGAGCACCTTGCAGACGCCAGCCAGGCGCGCCTGCCAAGCCCGGCAAATGCTGGCAGCCTCTTGCGCGCAAGGCACTAGGGGCCGAGCCCGCCGGCGGCGAGGGGCAGGAGGGCCAGGTCGCGCGCGAAGGCAGGGGGCCCCTGGTGCCGGGCGAGTGGCTTTAGGACCTCGCGCGCATGGCCGAGAACCACCGCGCCGTAGTAACCCTGGCGCCACGCCCCGTCATGCAGGCGCGCCCTTGCGCGGTGCATGGCCGCGCCGTTGACGATGGTCCGGAGCGGCGCGAGCTCGTCGAGGGCGCGCAGCCCGTGCTCTCGGAGCTGGCGGAGGGCCGCGAGGCAGGCGTCGAGGCGGTCCCGGGCCGCCTGCGGGGCGGCAGCTGGCCAGAAGCGCGTCCGCGCAGGGTCGGCGCCCGGGGCTGCTCCCGCGGCGTGGCGCACGCAGGAAAAGCGTTTCCCGCGCGCGAGAGCTCGCGCACCTCCGCCCTGGCCAGCGGCTCGGGGAGCCGCAGGGCGCGCGGGCCCACGGCCGGTCGTCGCTGCCGCTGGCGGGGGGCGCCGCGAACGGCAGCCTCGGGGGCAGGAGCGGCCGGGCCCGCGCCGCCTCGCTCGCCTGGCGCGCCGCGACGGCGCGCAACGCCGCGGCGAGCGCGCCCGCGATCACCGCGACGTGGGTCGAGGGCGTCGCCGCCCACGTGGGCACGGGCTCCCGCAAGGCACCGTTCATGTCGACGCCGGCCCGCCACTCCAGCCTTGGGAGCTCGCCCGCCGCCGCTGCCAGCACGTGCCGCGGGCGGAGGTCTTTGGCGGGCGCGTCGTCCTCCTCGCGCGGGGCCGCCCCCGGCAGGGGTGCCGTGCAAGCGAAGATCTCCGCGCGAGCCTCCTCTGGCAGCGCCGCCGAGTCTTCCGCGCCGAGCCCAGGGGCGCGCCGCCAGCGATGCATGCCGGGTGCTGGGTGGCGGAAGTGCTGGTCTTGGTTTGCCCGGCTCGCGCTGCGCACTGCCCCTGGCTCGAATCCCGAGCAGCACGCGCAGCATGCCGCCGCGTGCTTCCGAGGGGCGCGCTGGCCGGAGCGCCCTGCAGCAGCGGCGGGCGGCGCGGCAGCGGCGGCATCAGACGCGGCGCAAACAGCGCTTCCTGTGGCAGCAGCGGCGCCAGGTGCACCGCCAAGTTGGGCTGCTCCCGGAGGCGCGGCAGCGGCCGCTCCGTCCCCGTCCTGCATCTCCTGATCCCCGCCCCGCCCGGCGGCATCCAGCATCTCCACGTCCTCCTCCATGGCTCAATGGTTGGGGGAGGAAGGCGACGGGGGTGAGAGGTGATGAGCGGGTGGGGAGGGAGGGCCTGGCCAGGCAACGGCTGCGCGCGATTTGAGCCTCCTCCCTAGTCCTCTTTCTCCCCACTCCTCCTCCTCCTCCCCCTCCCCCTCCTCCTCCTCCTCCTCCTCCTCATCAGCATCGTAATCATCATCATCATCATCATCATCATCATCCGTAGCCATTTTGGCTCAAGGCTAAGCGGGTAGAAGCTTCGGAGAAGCGAGGTAACCTGATTAGCTTTGGGATATCCACTGCGTGCTGGCTCAGGCTGGGGCCTTGCTGGCGCAGCAGAGGGCTGCAGATTTTCCTGCAGAAGACTTTCCACTCTGTCTCGACCACCCGTCAGACATGTCGCTGGCTGCAGGCGGAAGCTCGAGTTCTGCGGGAGGCCATCATGACACACTGCTCGCGAACATTCAGAAGATGCTGGAGACTCAGGAAAAGAACATAAATGGCAAAACCGAGACGCTAATTAAAGAACAAGCGGCTGAAGTACTTCAGCTGCGGTCGGAGGTCACCACGAGTATGAACTACTTGGAGAGCAAGATCAACTCTGCGACGAAGGACACCGAC